CTAGATGTGCATAGCTCATGATGCAGGGTCCTAGGACTGGGCCTTGACAAATAATAGTAGATGCCAAATAAATATGAATAGGGTACAAAATAGCCCTAGTTTCTTTATTATCAGGGATTGGCAAGTTATAGCCAGTTTGCTATAAGTCTGGTGGCTGTTCTGTATGACCTGTAAGCTAAGAATGGCTTTTACATGTGTAAGTGGTTTGAAGAAAATCCAAAGAATAATATTTTGTGACTTGAAAATTATATGAGCTTTGAATTTGAGTGTCCCTGAGTAAAGCTTTACTGGAACTTCCATTGCCGTGTGGTTTACGGCTGCTCTTGTGCTACACTGGCAGAGCTGAGTAGTTCGGACAGAGACCATTTGACCCACAGCCTAAAATATTTACTATATATAACTGTCTACAATTCTATTTTGTGGGAAAAGTGCTTTCAGAAATCCAACCTTGGAACCTCTCGGGCTCAAATCATTGGTAATGGCACCTGTAGCACGAAGCAGCACTTCCGCACCAGAAAGAAGGGAGATAAGACTCTGATGGGAGGTGAAGACCTACTCTCTTAAGCGTCTGGGAGTGTACCCTCATCTGAGCTCAGTCCCGTCCACCCCGCCATCTCCTCTTCTACTGTTCCTTCCTACTCCTTCTGTGTTCGTTTCCCATTGCTGATGCATCCACCTACCATGAACTCAACTAAAGCATCACAAAGTGTATATCCTGCTGCTCCGGAAGTCTGACATGGGTCTCACTGGGCTAAAATCAAAGGCTGCATTCCTTCTGGAAGCTCTGGAGGAGAATCTGTGCCTTGCCTTTCTCAGCTTTTAGAAGCTGCCTGCATTTCGTGGCTCATGGCTCCTTCTGTCTTTAAAGCTAGTAGTCTACCATCTTCAATCTCTCTCTCTCTTTCTGTCCCCCTCTCTCCCTCTATCACACCCCCCCCCCTTCTGCCTCTGTTGTCTCAGTGCCTTGTCTGACTCTGCCACCCCTGCCTACCTCGTGTAAGGTCTCTGGTTAGGTTGGACTCATGTGGATAATTCAGAATAATCTCCCTACCTCATGATCCCTTAACTTAATCACATCCAGAGAGTTCCTTTTGCTAGGTAAGGTAGCATATTCACAGGTTGTAGCGATTAGGACATGGCCATCTTTGGGGCAGGGGGTATTAGTCTGCCCACCACACACCTTTTATCCAGCAACTACATACTATACTTCTCTCTACCTCTGCAGAGCGATGTGCGGGCTCAAGGGCATCTCTCAAGCTTGTAACCACCAGATTATCGTGGTGGCTAAGAGGAAAGGTTTAAATTCTGAGTGAGGATGGTTTTAAGAACCACTTGGCTCTAGAAATACTATTACCTCCTTTTTGAAATGACTCTCCCAAGGTCTGAGCAGTACAGCTGCCCTGCTTTCAGGAAAGTGCCACACTCTTCTCTCTTTCTGGGATTTGGCTGCAGCCTTCGGCTGAGCCGTCAACTGCTACAAGTCTTGGGAGAAAAGATCTCCGTCAATTCAAGATATTCCAAGTAGACCAAGCTTTTCTCTCTTTTGGCTAATAATTCCAAACTTAACCAAGAAGTTAAAAAATGTAAGAAGTTAAGAATTTCAGGCTTGGGTATATGATGGACTAAGAGAAAATTAAAGCATTGCACTTCACTTTTGATTGTGTTAACTGTAGCTGTTTGGGGACAGTTTCAGCAACTATTACTTGCTTGCATTGGAACTGTTTTGGTTGGAAGAAGAAAATGAAGGCTCAGGAATGATGTAAACTGGCCAAGTTCTCTTTTGCCAGAATGGGGAATGTATTTTATTTATTTATTTAATTTTAAAAGATAAAATAGGAATACCACTTTCAAAATGTCAAAACTTGACATCTTCCTTCTCCCCCCAACCGAACCTGATTTCCTCCTGCTCTCACTCATCTTCCTGACTAGTGTCCCATCCTCCCAGTTGCTCAAGCTAGAAACCTAAGAGTCATCCTAGATTACTCCTTCCTGACCCTCCACTGCATCCAGTTTGTCCCCAAAAATCTATGTGGTTCTGAGTATCTCCCTGCCTGTTCAAATTTGAATCAGCATCATCCCGAGCCCAGCGTCTTTTCTGATCTCTAGATCTGTGACTTGCTGCCTCCCTGGGTTCCTTGAGAAGTTTGTTTCCAGTAATCTTTCCCGTATGCAAATCTGGTCTTGTTCCTCTCTCACTCGGGGTTCCTTAATGCCTATCCATCATCTCCTGAGTAAAATCCAGTCTACTTTGCAATGCGGAGAGAGCCTCCGGGATCTGGCCCGACTGTTGCATGGCTCCGCCTCCAGCTGTCTCCCTCCTTCCAACCTTGTTACTTCCCAAAATAAGCCTGTTCTCTCAAATCACTTTCCTTGGCACCCAATATTTTTTCCAATGTTGCATTTCCCCTGGGCAAACACTTCTTTTATTCAGCTTTTAAGTCTCCATTGAAACCCTGCCATCTCTACAAAGCCTCCCGTGATTCCCCAGTCAGAGGTCAAAGCCTGTTCTTGCAGGCACCCATTGCATTGGGTACTTATTTCTAGTATCACAAGCTCTGTATTTTATGGATTGCATGTTGTTCTTCCTGTGAAGGGTTATCACCAAAAGGTCTCTGTTGTCATTTTGATCATTGTAAACCTAGTGTGATTCTTAGCATGTAGTAGGTGCACACTAAATTTTGTTTGAATTAATTAACCAAGAGGATATCTTATATAAATAAAAATAAAATAATTTATATCTTTTAGGGGTTGGTTTATTTCAATCATAAGCTATGGTTCAGAGGTTGGCAAACCATTGCCCGCTAGCCAAACCCAGCCTCCCACCTGTTTTTGTAAATGAAGTTTTGTTGACACGCAGCCGCTTGCATTCATTTATGAACTGTCTTCGGCTCCTTTCATGCCACAGAGGCAGATTTGAGTAATTTTGACAGAGACCACACGACCTGAAAAAGCTAGCCAACCCCTGCTCTAGATAATTAATCTCACTGGAAGTAACCTGCTTTGGAATGCTTCTAAAGGTACGTATGTCATTCCATTTTGACACCTCAAATAGCGGTTGGCTCCCTTACATACCTAAACTTCATATTCAAAAGTCACCAACTCATCCGGAACTTCCCATCTGGGGAGGAAAAAAAGCAATTCACCGATAGTGTACCTTGTGGTGCCCTAATCTTAAAGGGTGTGAGTGAGGGGTACTCTCAAGGCCTGAGTCCCCAACTCCTGTCTAAACTTCTGCTTAGTCCAGTTATACCAGGAAACGAAAAGAAAGAAATCCAAAATGCACTGCACCTGGAAGAATTTTCTTCAGCTCACCAAGTGTGACTAAAGCCTACACATTTTGCCTAGATTTGCTCACTGGTTCCCCACCGAGGCCTGTCCCCACATCACCTCCCTGTGCCCCTCCCTGGGTTCCTGTTAGTCTTTATCGTTACCGGCTGGATGACCGTTCATACGCGCGAAGGCAAACAGAAAGCACTCACTTTGTTTAGCCCTGGCTGGAACGTGGCCTTCTCTGTGAGGCTTTCCTGGCCGCTCTGTGGGAAGCTGTAAACCCTGCCCTCTGCCCTCACTGCCAACCCCTGCCCCGCTTGCGGTTCCCTCCCTACCTTGCACACGTACCCTTTACTCACCTGGCTCATTTTCTGCCCCTATTAGAGTATATCTCCATTTGTTGAACAAACAAATAAACAAATGAAATCCCATATAAAAAAGAAAAAATATCAAAGAATTAACATAGTGTCAGTCACTCTTTGTAAAGAATGTTCTAGGCAGGAATTTGCTACCAGTAGGGAACAGACGTGTCTTAATAGTTGCTAGGGCCAGTTATTCCTTCTCTTTAAGGTGAGTGAGGAGGATGGTGAAGTGTTAGGGGATCCCAGAAGTCTCCCACACATCCACAACGAACCGCTGGCTGTGCCTCCGGCGGCCAGCACTATGCCAACGCCTGGGACTTTTTTCGATTGTGGAGGAAACCATAGGTACCTCCTCAGAGCTGGTGTGCCCTAGCTGGTGCCTGTGACTCATAGGAAGTCCTCCTCAGTGAGGGGACGTTAGGTTTCCAAGGATTGTGAAGTATTGTTTCTTAGGCCACCACTTTTTCACTGTCTGCATGGAGGGTACATTCACTCTCTGTGGACATGTGCATGCACACACATGCACTCAAGATTGTGGGAATCTTTGCTTCTTTGATGTGCCGTATTTTTGCATCAGATGTCTCTATAAATACTTGTAGTTCTCATTGACCATATCTCTGTACTTATTGTGATCAAAATAGCACATAGAAAACTTGGCGGTTACAATTAACATAGAGTTTAAAAGCACAGGTTTTTTAGCATGTGTCCTGGCTGAGTTCAAATCTTGTAAGTTTTATGATTTGGGGGAAATTACATAACCTCCCCAAGCCTCAATTTCATCTATGTTCTATTCTATTCTATTTACATATAGTATATATTACTTTAATATTAATTTAATGTACTATAAGTGTGTATTATATATTATAATATGTTATATATTATAAATATATGAGATTATATTATATAATGTTATGATAATATTAAATATTACATAAGATAGGGTCAAAACTTCATAAGGTTGTTGGGAGCAATAACTAAAAAGCCCTTGGCGCAGTCGCTGGTACGTGGTTGGCTGTCAATACACATTCACCCTCCTATAGCTCCTGTGCATGATGGCAATTAGCAGCAGCTCTTTCTGCTACAAGCCCAAGAAGTTCCTGAGTGTCCCCATAAAAGAGAGGAAGTAGGACCCTTGAAGCATCCATCCACATGGTGTGGGATCAGGTGGCCCAGCAGATTCCCGAGATTTTGGTGTTTGCAACGAACTGAGAAAATCCCCAGTTAACTAACAGTGGATTTAATTTTAGTGGTTGAGAGGCAGTTTTGAAGCACAAAGATGAAGTCTGCTTGACTTTCCTACTGGCTGAGAGAGGAGGGGTTTGTGAGGTGCAGAACTGTGTAACTCAGTGTGTTCCCCTTGGTCTACAGGGCGATTTCACCTGGAACAGCATGTCAGGCCGCAGCGTGCGGCTGAGGTCAGTCCCCATCCAGAGTCTCTCGGAGCTGGAGCGAGCCCGGCTGCAGGAAGTGGCTTTTTATCAGTTGCAGCAGGACTGTGAGCTGAGCTGTCAGATCGCCATTCCCAAAGGTAAGGCCCTCCCTGCCGTCCCCTGGGGAGTGCTGCGGGCCAGACAGCTGCTGCGCCAGAGCCGCAGGCTGAACACTCATCTCACACCTGACACACCGGAAGGAAACGCCGCTTCTTGGTGGCTGGCTGCCATTAGTGTCCATGTAGGAAGACATATTCAAGTGGCACAGTTTACGTGTCAACTAATATGTTTAAAGGGAAGGTCAAGTTGGGCATAAGAGAAAAAAAACATGGTATCTGAACAGTCTATGTGGCTTCAGAGCAACCAGTTAAAGTTTCAGAATGGGCAACTTAAAGGGTTAGAAGAAAAACCACGTCTATCTCAACATGATTTCAAAATAACCAGTTGAAAAGAATGTTTTAACACATCTGTCAGCCTTGTCATCTGACCGTTTGCAAACCCAGAGTCAGGGATCATATCGGTGTTGACTCACTTTTATCTAGTGTGTCTCCTGGCATGTCTAGATTGAGGCTCACTACCATGACACTGGAGTCGTGCAGGCCTGGCTCTCTGATGTTTGTGCACAGATCCTGATTCTGGGAAAGATGAGAGGCATTTATTTGAAGTCCCTTAATCTGTAAAAATCTGTTTCTTGATATTTATCTTCCATAGGGACACTTTATAATTTGTATTGTGTGTATCATCAAAGTCACTGGAGGGGCAATGGAAAACGATGACATTACACAAATAGAGTAAACTTGCCATAAAAGGCGACACTGGCTGCTGTGCCTGAACGTAAAGGACAGTAGGGGAGGGCGAGCAAGCACCCCAGTGCTAGATCGCCTTGGAGGGTTTCAGTGTCTATGCACTTCTACTTTGTTTTCCTTTGTCAGGGGAATGAGGAGGTGCTTCAAGAATATTGATTTTTGAAATAATTCACACCATATATGCACATACACACATAGATAAGTGGTTCTTCTCAACCAGGGATTGTTCTGCCCCCATCCCCAGGTGAAGTCTGGCAAGGTCTGGTTGCTGCTTTAGTTGTCACAGCTTGGGGCAAGGATGCAGCTGACATACGGTGGAAGCCAGGGACATTCCTAAGTGTCGCACAATGTACAGGACAATCCCCACAGCAAGCACTGTCAGGTGCCAAGTGCCTGAGCCCAGAAGTTGAGCGACTGTGGTAAACACACCGACCAGCTCACACGCCGTCAGCGACAGCGCCGGCGGTGCTAGTTTCCTGTCTGAGCTGTGGCCAGTGGAAAGGGCACAGCTTGGGAGCCTGAAGACCAGTATTTGAGGAATGTCCCATTACCTCCACCGCGTGGGAGCTAGAGCAATTCACCTTTGCGGTAGGAGGCTCAGTTTTGTTGATAGAAAGAGTAGCACAGAAACACTGACCACATGGAGTTTTTCATGGAATGGTGACTCCTAGGGCCACTTTTATTCCTGAAGCTGGAATCTGGGATGCTGCTGGAGGTCATGAAAGGGTCCAGGAGAAGAGAGGGGTAGAGGAGGCCAATGGGCTGACGAGACCAGCACGTTTCACTGCCTAAGCCTCGGTCCTTCAGCTTCCTTGTCATGCTCTGCATGCCAGCACTACCCCAGCCAGATCCTCCGCAGAGGACCTCCCTACCCCCGTTATGCCTTCTCATGCTAATCTAGCACACAGGGCCCCCCACCCAGGTAAGAAGGAAAGCACTTGGGCAATTAATGAGCCATGGGTATTAATCACCGTCAGGCCAGTTGCTGCTTCTCCCCGGAACAGACTCGTCCCACCCCACCCTGGGTCAGTTGGGTTGTGGACTGGAAATGGGGCCTGCCTGCCCCTCCCCTCCCTGTTAACTCCCAAGGTGACCCAAGTGAGCCGAGAGTCCTGTCTCCCTTTCACTAGCACAGATGTTTCTTCAGGTCCTTAAAAAAAATAGAAATGCTGTTGGCAAACCCGATTTGTAGTGAATGATTACTCTAAAAAGTTATGTAAAACCTGGATTGGACACACATCAGATAAGATATCAGGAAACAAATACGCTTTGTACTTTCTTTTTAGATCCAGCTAATTTGATTTTTCTCTTTGTTCCTACTTTTTAAAGAGCCCACTAAATAAATAACCTCTACCAAACAGTTTCATAAAAGTTGTCTGCTAGACATTTTGTCTCCATTGCTTATTTTCTAAGACTACATGGTTTGTAGCACATTCAGGGAAAGATGTGCTCTATCAAGATGTTTGAAGATATTTGGGCTATAAGAGTTGTTTTGATGTTTTCGATCAAAATGGGAATTAAGGGTTTACAAGTAATTTCTCGTGGAGGAGAGAAAGAACTGTTTGGCTAGGTAGTAAAAAATAGGTATCACCTGGGAGTTCTGAAGCTGCTGTTCTGGCCGATGGCTGTTGGCAGCCGATATCTGCCAGTGCCAACCACCACCACGATGGCAGCTGTGTTCTTAAGCTGGCCCCTTGGTTTCATGCAAACCCCCAAGCGGAGCTTCCAAATGGGGTCACATTCACTGTGTGAATAATTCACTAGGAAAATAAATACTGGGCCTGCAGTCTAAAGAAATGGTACCAAACCTAAATGAGATAGTAGGTATAAGAAAAATGGGAATGTTCTCAAGCTCACATTTCTGTCCTGGGTCACTTCAGGGTGATTGTCGGGATTTACTCCCAGGCATCTGCTTGGAGAACCCTCTCCCTCTAATACGCTGGTACTTCCGAGGCACAGATGAGTGATACTCCAAACATATTTGTCAGCTGCTGGGATTCACTGGGGAGAGGGGAGAATTAAGGACTGGCGGGTTGGGGAATTACTGGGGAGATTGCCTGGTGTGGACAGCAAGGAGGGGATCTGGAGCACAAGTAGTGAGCTCAGCCTCCTCTTGACCTATAGTAAGAGGTGGACGGCGGTCGGTCATCTGGGTACAGATGCTGTTAGATTAGAAGATGGTAGGAGAGCCTGTGGAATTTCACTGCGCTTGGTTGTCTGCTCTCAGCAAAATATGAAGCCATTTCACCTGCTAAGAGTGAGGATGGCAAAAAGGTCCTGGAGGTCTGAGGAAAGAGGAGAGGAGTAAGAGAGAGAGAAGTCAGCAGGCCAGCAGTGTTGCAGGACTGCAGGGCAGTCCAGAAGGTCCATTTGAAGATTTGCAGTTAGTAGCTGGCAATTTACATGGCAAAATAAACATCTTGACAGCTAACCACTGCTAAAGCAACATAAACCTTTTAGCACTTAAAATTCCCCAGGCCTGGTTAACCCCACTGTCCTCTCACTAGAGCTGGGATTTACTGGTTCAGAGGGACATGGCAGTTGAGAGTGTGTCCGTGGTAGGCAGAATAATGGCCCCCCAAGGATGGCCATGTCCTAGTTCCTGGAATCTGTGAATGTTACCTCACACTCCACAAGGAACTTTCCAGACACTATCCTTTAAGGTCCTTGAGAGAGGGAGATTATTCCGGATTATCTAAGGGGGCCCAAACTATTCACATGGATACTTAAAAGCAGAGAAACTCCCAGGTGTGGTCAGAGAGACAGATGCAATGTTGCTGGCTTTGAAGACAGAGGAAGGGGCCACAAGCCAAGGGATGCAGGCAGCCTCTAGAAGCTGGAAGAGACAAAGAAACAGATTCTCCATATAGCCTCTAGAAAGGACTGCAACTGTGCTGACACTTTGATTTTAGCCCAGTGAGACCCATTTCAGAATTCTGATCTCCAAAAATGTCAGACAGTAAATTTGAATTTTTTAAGCCACTGAGTTTGTGGCCATCAGTTACAGCAGTGATAGTAGACCAACACAGTGTCCAAGGGGATATTTCCCTTGAATAAGGAGAATCAATAATATAAAGATGTCAATTACAGCATTAATGACCTATAAACTCAATGTAATTCCAAAAACCAGAGCAACAGAACTTATTTTTGTAATATCACTAAATTGATTGGAATATCACCTGGGCAAATAATTATGTGAGAGTAGGCAGGGGAAAATCTAAAGAGGAGGTCAAATGGAGAGCATCCCTATCTATTTATTGAAATGTCACAAAACGAAAGCAATTAAAAGAGTATTGTACTGCTTTGTGGATCAGTGGCAGACAGTAGAGTTCAGAAACGAACTAAATTAAATATAAGAACTTATAACTATTACATTTCTTGTCAGGAGGAATGATAGATTAATATTTGCAACAATGAGACAATCACTGAGGGGTAAAGGCTGGATTCTGACCTTATTCCTTAAATCCAAATAAATTGATGTGGAGAAAAGATTTGAAGATTTAAAAAATGAAATCATAAATGCACCAAAACATGGCTGGCTATTTATAAATGTTTACATTGGGGAAGGCACTACCCAGAAAACATAAAGAAAGTGACACATTTCACTGCATTCAGAAAAAAAATGGAATCATCTGTGTGGTAAACAAACAAATAGAAATTTATATCACATTTGACAAACGAAAGGCTAACTTCCCTACTTTATAAAGCTTTATTACAAGTTATTATGAGAAAGAAAAATAAATAAAATGTAGACAATTATAGGTGGCTCACAGAAAAATAAATACAAATGGTTTATAATATTTGGAAAGAGACTCACCCTGAAATTCATGAAAGAAATCTCAAGCTAAACACCGAGAAGATTTTTTTTCTCTTAGATTGGAATCGCTCCAAAAGTCGGATGATAAACTTTATGGGAAAACCGACACTCGGATACTGTTGGTAGGAGTCTAGTGGTTGCAGCAACTTCAAGGCAATTTGCCAGTATCTAACTTTTAGCCCAACGGTTCTACTTCAAAGAATATATCTCACAGATAAATACTTGTATTATTTGAGGTGGGTTCAGCACTCAGTGCCCCAGCGTTATAAAAGTTTCCTTCTTACTGAGACACCATCCAGTACAGGTTGGCCATGGGGGTCAAGAGAATGGGCTGCTCCACGAAGCTGTTGGGCGACAGAGGCTTCTTGCATCTGTGGCTCCTCCGTCCCCTAGATCCATTCAAACAGGAGTCACACAAACTGAAAGCAAGTAAGATTTTCATAAATCTTATGAGATGACTGATGAGCTAATTTGC